GACGATAGATAAAAATGGAGAAGACATTGTTTATTGATTTGTCCGAGAACTAGATTGTGTCAAAAAAAAATTCAACTTTTCTCTCCGTCTGTTTAATTTCTTTTTGGTCCATTCGAATGATTGTTTAATCGGTATAGTGAGGTTTGATGAATAGCATGGCATTGATTTTGTTTACCGACAAATAGAAAAGTGGACAATCGATGCGTTCGACGCACTCGACGAATATCCGGTCAGTGCATCCAATTAAAAAAGTTTAAAAGAAATAGCGCAATGATTTTTTCCACGCGCATCGGCTCTTGTTTACGGAAAAATTTAGATGAGAGGATGAAAAAAAATATAGGAAAATTTAATATGGGTGGGTACTGGATGAGAATCCAGTGCACATAACAGTCACAAAGAAAAAAATTTTTACGCGAATACATGTGTATACTGGGGTCTCTCTATTTTGCATTGAGTGCAAAACGATTGAACCTTGTGTGTATTGTGCCCCAAATCCATTGTCCATTATCGAAAATTGAAGTGGACTATGGCCCTCACCTACAGGGGCTACAGTTTTTTACCCCTTTGAGGATGGAAAATAGAGTGACAACATCTATTAACGAGAAATTCAGTTCACCGGAGTAAATCCGATATTTTTTTTCGTTACAATTCGGATAAAAAATTACCGCTCAATGGAGAAAATAGAAGTTTTAATTTTCAGGTGTTCTGAACACTGACCCACGTCACTCCGAAAATTACCTTTAAAATTCAATTGTTTTGCCGGGAATTTTGCAATTTCTCACTTTTTCAGTTTTATCAGTAATTCCTGGAAATAGCGGTCAGTCCGAGCCAATGAAAACTATTTTTTATCTGCGCACATTTCATTACATTTTTGTTTTTATTAAAGTGAAAATTCGTTCAGCAATTTGGAGATGTAAAAAATTAATTCAAGTCCTTTGATGGACGGATGTAGATAGTATATATGTATAGGAAATTCTCATGAGAAATTATTTCCATTTTGGAAATATTCTGTCGTTTTATTCCTTTTTCTTTTTTATTTTCTCCCAGAAAAAGTCGCTAGTTGAAATCATCGATATATTTTCCCTAGATTATGGTGGAGATCTTTAGCTTATATTTTTTGCATATAATATAAATAATATGCAATAATATACATTGATATGGCTGCATTACGGGCATGATATCTTCAACAAGTTTTGTTTGTTTTTTCTGTTTGTTTTTTCTGTTTGTTTATCACTGTAATTTTCAGATAAACGTGACGAGGAATGATTTTTATGTAATTTATTCCGTGTTTACATTATATACATATTCATTCCATTTTCAAATACGTTATATTACCATTTTTGTTTTATTGATTAAATAAATGCTGAAATTGTTTTGGCATTGAGAAAGTCGACATAAAATACTAAAAGTTTATCTGGGGAGTGCGCGTAGCAATAGAATTTAAAAATAATTCAAACCTATCAAATACAAAAAATTCTCATCCTGTTCAGCTAAAATTTCGCGTTGACTCCAAAAAAATTTTGAAAATCTATACAAAAAATTCATAGAGATCCCAGAAAAATTTCCAACTAACACTTCGAGTACTGATTTTAAAATTTTTCTTGGACTAGATTACAAGACGGGAACTTTTCTAATAATGAAAAAAAGTGGGACGATAATTTTCATTAATTATGAAATGCGAAAAATTGGCATTTGTTGAAATATGGTTGAGGGTCACAAAGCGTAGGGGGTACCACGCTGTCCCGATTTGATTCATGATCCCGCATATTTCATCCCGGAAGGATTATTAATTAATGATCAGATGGAAAGAGCGGGGGATTGGGTAACAAACCGATTGGTTCTCTGGCTGTGGTCTAGGGGAAGTGGTGCCGACTCATTTGGTTCTTCAAGTACCGATGGGGATCACAGGTCATCGGGTAGATGCCACGATCTACGACCAGACTGTACGACCTACGTGACTGTATGTAACTCGTGTATGTGCATTACATAGAATAGCCACGAGATCGTGCACCATCCCGGACGCCCATATCTCCAAGATCTCTTATCAATTTATCAATTATTCCACTTTTCCTCGATTTTAACAATTCATTTTCCCATCAATCAGCTCCACAATACTTTTGAAAAACCATGAAGAACTAAATGAAGATGAATGAATTGTTTATAAAAAACAATCACCGATTGATCAGTGTCCATTTGCAAAAAGCGATAAAAATAAAATAATGGATTACACCAGTCCAAGTTACATCGTAATAGTCATAGGATTATTAATTACGATGGCAGGCAATTATCACGCGGGAAATTTCTCATCACTTTTGACTGACGTCTCAGTCGTCTTCGGGTCTCTGGGCCATTCATTATATTATCAAACTCATTTTCTGTGCAAACATTTTTCGACACTCGATCAATCAGGAATTAGCAACGATACGAACAATTAGAAACTCTCGATTCTGTCTGGGCGAACTGTTATTAATGATTGAATTGTCGCGTCAGTCATTATTAATGGGCTCGACACGGTCTCCAGTGTTAAGTGGACTTGATCAGGTGTAATTATTAATTTTAATGAAACGAAGAACTCAAAGATACGGAAGAATTTGGATGTCATACTGAGAAAATTTTGGCTTAATTGAAATTCAATCAATTCCCTCGGATTACTTAATCGATTCGAATCAGTACACTCTTTTCAAAACTCTTGAAACACTTGGAAAAATCAATAACTAATGATCACATCACCTCGTCAATCAATGCTAATGAGTTTGACATCGCACTCTCGCGTTTAATGGATATTTTATCCTCCGTGATTAGTAATTAACATGAAAATAAAAAGTAAAAAAAAAAAGCCTGGAGATTTATGAAACGTCGGAGACATCAAATTGCCCGTTTTAAAAATTGTTTCGCAATTTCCCTTTGTTATTTTTCCACTTTTATTGGTGTAAAAAAACGTTATATGGGTGTAAATAATTGCCTAACGTTTTCCCTCGCTTGTGCATCTTCCCAAGGGGCAAAGTGGCAACAAACTCGACAGATATATCTTTGCAAACTCCAATGTCCCTCCTGTAACCCATATGTACACCTATCGCTTGAACTACCTACGCGTATTCGTTAATTAATCACAATCGCCTGGCGATTACCACGGGGCGCGGCGATGAATCAAATGGTCTGGACCGTTACTACACCCAACTGTCACGGACCTTTTAAGCATTTTCCAACAGTCCGTGTAATTCTCGTAACATTACACCCGGTTTACGTTACGACGAGCCTACGAGCCTGCGAGCCTACGATACTTCGTCTTCGTTTCGAATTATCTCCCATCATTTTCATTTTATTCAAAACCAATCTGATTGCGCTATACGCCCGCCAATTCAAATTTACCGCCGTCAACATCGCTCGGCTTTCTCCGGATTTAGTGACTTTTTCTCCCCAAAATCCCTAGAATCCCCTAAATTTTTATGCAATCATCAGAATTCAGAGAAATTCAATAGCGAAGTGGTACCCCTGGATAAGTGCATTTTTTTCGAGACCAATTTTTATCCAATATCTCGGAATTAAACGAACATAGCCACTTTTTTGCGTGAATATTTTCTATCGAAAAAAATGAGAGCTACAAAAAAGGTATTCATGAAAATATCAGTATCTTCCTTCAATTCCGAGATATCGGCTAGAAACTGGATTCGAAAATTTATTAATGAATTTTCAGGTAATTGAAGATGATAGAGAAAATTCTTGGTCTCATTTCCCGATTTGAAAATAGTCATTAACGAAATTTCGTTATCACACACAGAATGGGTAATTTATATGACACTTCCGGGTAATAACGAGGTCTCCCGAGAAACTTGCACTCTGCAGGAAAGAAAAAAGAACGGAGAAGGCACCTAATGCCGGGTATCTCCTGGGGTGACGTTAATGGAGATGTTTTTGTCAGGCTGTATAGACGGGGTAGAATTCTCTCTCTAACCACGCGATATTCCCCACCTCTCTTTGTCCATCTAGAGTGTAGATTCTAGAGTCGTCTACGTGTACGAGATACTCGTCAGTCTGGTAAACTTTGTAATGGAGCGATAGAGCACGTCTCTGGATGAACGGTGTGGCCCGTTTGTAAGACTACGTTTTCTCCTATATAAACCAACCCTTAAATTACATCAAAGCTTGGCCTCTTCTTTTTTCACTTCTCAAAATACAACCATTAACGCATTTTTTTCACCGCTCACGAATGGCTGTGGAGAGTGCACACACGGCAATCTTTTACAAAGCATGAAATGTTATAGCACTTCTCCCTGTTAATGTACGCTTTTTTTTCATTTCCACGAATTTTCCGGAAAAAGGTCTCTTCATTTAGTATTTTTTTTGGTTAAACATTCATTTTTAGGATTTTTTTTTCGATTTTTCCGGGATTGTTTATTTATGGACTTTAGTGGGAATTAATTATCGAGGTTTTATTAAGGTTCGGATAATAATTTAAGTCATTTCTGGTCTGTGTTATGTAGTGAATTAAATACCTGTACCAGATTTTAATTTATTATTCCCTCTAAATAATTCAACAGCTGCCTTGGTGGTTTATCATTCTAAAATACGTAAAAATTATTTTTAAAAAACTCACGAGATCTATAATGAACTCTGGGAAAAGTATATCTATTTTAAAATTTCGAATTCTAAATTTCAATTTGGAAGTTTTGATTAATTTTTTTAAGGCAACAGTCCGATTTCTACAATTCTTCATCTATTATGTTCCAAATTCATTTGATTATGCGTGAAGAAAATATTTCAATAAGATTTCTTGAAATTTTAAAATTTTATTGCTAATTACCATTCGCGTATTTTCTAATTTATTAGGAGACATGCTCTATATCGCGAAAAAGTAATTCCCAATTTATTTATAATTATACTTTTCATATATATATATTATTTATAAGGTCAAACTGAAATGATAAATGCGAAAATGTCTACCTGGGGGTGAAGGTATGCCCTCGCATCTACATTTCTATAATTATGAAGTAATGACTGACCTTTTTCAGATGACCATGTTGCGTGCCAATAAAAACTACAGTAAAATCGCCAGTTGAAGTTGCTGCTACGGCGGTCAATAGTGTATCGAATGTTAACACTGGAACAGCGGTCATTGGCTCTTGTCCACCCAGCGGTGTATTCACATCCAAACCGCAAAAATCCTCAGCGATTGTTTGGAGTTTCTGGAAAAACAAATTTATTTTTCATTATTTTTCGGTGATTCTTCAACAGATTGAAATCAGGCTTTTTACGATTCTGGGTTACGACACTGGAAACAAGTTTTCACAACGGAATGACAACAAATTCGGATGATCTGTCGGTAAAATTCACGATTATTATCGCTTCCATGGGAATTGCTGAGAAAAAAGTGACAATGGGTTTTAGGAAGGTAACACTTATTTTTTTATTTATTTTTTCGTCTAGAGTTTCCTGGAAATAATTATTTTGTTCTCATTTTTTCAGTCTTATTTTGGATCATGATAATGAGGGATAGTAATTATCCCAGTCTCCAGGGAATTCCTCCATGATTCCCGGAATTCTAAAGATTTGTAAATTAAATTCTCACTGAAAAACTTGAGGAGCAAAATTAATTATTTATCAGTTTCCAACTGAAAAAATAAATAATTCAGTTCCTGGAATTCAAAGAATTCTTTAATTGAATTCACACATAGAAACATGAATGCAATTTACAATGTAATAACGAGTAGCCGAATTAATCATTTAATTGCCACAATGTATCCTCTCTGAACAGTAATAATTCGTAATAAAAAAGAATAAAACTCAATTTGAGTTTTAATTAAAGGGAAATGACGTAATTAATGGGTTTTTATAAAGTTGCAATTAGGTGTCTGCCGAAAATAGCGGGCAAACTTCCTCTGTAGACAGCAGTTTTGAGACTGATACGCGCTCTCACTTGCCTTTGCAACATTGTAATTGAGTTGGCAATGTCAAAGCGCGGAGTAATTATAAACAACGTCATTACGGTAAGCAAGATGAAGAGGGGGAGGTGGGTCTTGTACCAAACCTGGCTTAATTAGACGTAACGTGGAAAACAGGCTGCCGTGCCCACCAGATTTCCTGGTGAATGTGTTCCCAGGATTTTGGAGAATCCTCTTTTTTCAACATCCGGAAATCCACCCGGAATTCCTTCCTCAACAATTTCCATTCCTCCCGCTAATAAATAAATATTATATTCCCTTTTTGTTGAAGAGGAAATTGCAACCAGTGAATACTTGACGAACTAATAATCAATCAATCAGTCTAGTTGAAGTATTGAAGTTGTTCAAGTATTGAATTCCTCTGAATTCCTCGGAATTCCTTAACTTCCCCTGGGAATAAACCACCTTTACTCATCCCCACTCCAATTTTATAACTGACTCCTCCCAAAATTGTGGATGTTCTCCTCTTTAACTCATCCGAAAATTCGCAGACAATTCGAGTAATCAATAACAGAGGCAGTTACCTCTCTCAAGGACACTCGACAGATTCATCTCGACAATGGACCAAAGTAATAGGAATTTCCTGTACACCGCTCTAGACGAACAACTACATCCACTAATTGAGATTGAAGTCAGTAAAATCTTTGCCCATCCCAGGGGTGTCTTCTTTGATCGCAAAAGATTACGAGTGAGTCACTCTGAGTCTGTCATAATCAAATAACAAATTCTCGTCATACTTTAGCCTCTTTCATGTTCTCTAATGAGCGCTAATAACCCACCGCCATAAAGAAATGCACAGAACAATAATATCCCACCTGGCAAAAGAGAATAAAAAATGATTGAATATTGATTGCGCAGCTCATTGATTCCAGGAAAAATCATTTTTTACAGAAATTTTCTTTTTCAATTTCTGCAAGACTTCAGAAGGAGGCACGAAAAAATGTTTGCAATCTTTTTTACAATATCTTTGCACATATTTTGAAGATTTTTTTTTATACTGGACAATTTCCGGAAAATTTTCTGGGGAAAAGGAGAAAATTGGTGGTATTTTCCAGAAATATCACCAGTCAAATAATTCTTTGAAAATGTTTCTCTAGGAAATTGAAAATGTTTTCATTCAATTTAATTTTCTCGGACATTTTGAAAAATTATTTCGATCACGATTTTTCTTCTATCCTTGGAGATAGAGGCATTAGAGCTATAGTTGAAATGACATCGGCTGCATGATTGCATGATTTACACTGTGAACAAGTTATGGAGCCGTCGATACACATATTTTCTATCGCCGTCAATATGTACATACCCGGAGTGTTACCCGATGGTAATCGCGTACACAGATCCCGGGTAAAATAATATAAATACATACAAGAGGCCTTTCACCCATATCGCCACTGCAATTATAACATTTTTTTCGTCTCTCTTTATGCACACACATGCACAAAGTATCCGTGACACTATCGATCTCACGGGGTTTGGTCATTCAATCGGCCATATATTTTTTTTACAGGCTCGCTGGAGTATAAATAATAAAACGAACAAAACGAGACTGGGATAGGGGCATAAATGGGAAAAATGAATGCGAGAAAAATTAAAAACTCGCTACTATCGACGAGGCAGGGAAGGGATTGGGAAATCCATTTGGATGTTTAAAATGAAAAATATTCTTTATGATTGACGGCGTCATGGACACTTTATCGCTATTTTTAAAGCTGTTTTAACCATTTTCGTTTATTTAGGAATTATTCAGTCGATGGAAAATTGTGATAGCCACTCGAAAGCTGATTAATCCTTTCCTCGATTATTCTGTAAAATAGAGAGACAATTTTTCCCGTGTCATTGAATAAAATAGTTCTTATTCAATTTTTATGTAACTCGAGATTTATTGATCCACCCGGGGTAGGTATCATTTTTTTTCGTGCTCGGCGGCGTATAAATAATAAATTAGACAAAGCGAAGGTGGGAGTAGAGATGGGGACAACAAAAAGCGAGAAAAATTCAAAACTCGGTAGTACCGATGGGTAAAGGGATACCATTCCGATATTTCAAATGAAGACTATTTTTATGATTGACGGGCTGACGAATATTTCATCACAACTTTCGAAACGATTTCAACATTTTCCATTTCTCCAAATCCTCAAATTTCCATTATACCAAAAAAAAAAACGTCAATATTTAAATCCCCATGTCGTAAACAAATATTCATCAATCATTACCAATATTTTTTTTTGGCATCACATTGTTTCAGGGATGGAGTACTCTCAATTGAAAAACAATAATAGACAATCTCCTCCGAATTGTGCCTCTTCACAAGCCCATTGGTTCCATCAGTCGAAAATCAATTTACCCTTGGAAAAAGTGAAAATAGAAATTCCCATTACCTCTTCAACTTTTCTCTCCCCATTGTCAGTCGAATGAAAACAATTATCGAATGGAATCCGATAAAGCCAACAATCTGATATCGATCATTTGAAAACGCCCCTCTTCCCGGGAATTTATGAGGTGGAGTTTCTCTTTACAAATACCGTCCTTTAATCTGCGGGGCATTTAATTAAGAATCGACTCGTGCGCGCCAACACACGCACGTTATGCATCTACTATTTGGTACTGGATTGAATTGCTGACTATTCCTGTGAGTTTCCCCTCCTCCTCCTCCTCCTCCTCATCCTCCCCCTCATCCTCCCCCTCCTCCTCCTCCACTACCACCCCCTCCCCCGGAAAACGAGCAACAAGGAGGGAAAATTGCTTGTATTACATACGTGCACATACGTACCGTCTATCGACACCGACTCGATGTCGCGTTCACTCAGCGTAATCGAACGTCGGGTACACGCCGCATTGAATTCTCCACATATAACTACCCAACCCTGGCCCAACCCTGGCCACCCCGTTAATATACGCTGAAAGACGTGAATCGACACGGGATTTGAATTCCGGGGATAATTAATACGTCGAGATAGGACTGCATCGGGAATCTCAAATAATCTGTCTATTGTCGATTGCAGATGCCTTTGAAGTTGGAAAAAATTTTGATAGTCGGGTTGACGGATTTCGACGGGAAATTATTACGGAGGGAATCAAGTTGGGGGTAATTTTGGGGGGATTTTAGGCGACTGTCGGTTGCGCATTTTTTCGGTAGCGATGTTTTTCTTTTTGGCTTTTTTTTATCAATCGATAATCAATTGATAATTGATTCCACGGATTTTTACTGGATTGGCTATAATGGAAATAAAGGATACGGGAAAAATGACAGGAATGGAAAAGTCGGTTCGGAAATCGAATTTTTCTATCGACTCAGTGATTTTATAAATTTTCGCTTCGTAGATAATAATAAACTACTCAAATCCAGGAAAAATTGATAAATACACGGAGAGAAATATTTAGTAAAAATTACGGAACTTTCAGTTCAATTACCGATTACGGAGTCGATTCAAAAAATTTAAGTGACGGTGTCGTAATTTTTCACCGATAATTCAGATAAAAATTACGGAACACCGCAGAAAAATTCCGTCACTTTAGATTAAAATTACGTGACATTACCGTGAAATTTCCGACAACCACATTACGCTCCAGAATTCCGGAAAATAAAGGTAATTTTTATTGAATATTTCTCTCTGTGTACATTTTTTTTATGTATATGATTAATTTCACATATTTTTGTGCGGTAATTAATAATCCAACTCTCACACACCGAAAAAACACGGAAAAATAAAATTCTTCCCCCACCACAAGTTGTTGACTTAAAATTTCGGAGAGAGTAAATTATTTCCCAAATGAAATTCAGACGCATTTCCTATTTTTAAAAACAATATTTCACCGTTTATGAAACAAATTCCCGCAGAATTCCCCAGAAAAATTCTCACCACACGGGAATTCTGCCCCCGTATCAACTCTGGGTATTGCTAACCCCTTTTACACCAGACCCACTCACCTCAGATTTGGCAACGAACCAGGAACAATGATTTCGAATTGTTCCCCACAAAACAAAAGAGTATACAAACCGGTGGGGGTGAAATTCGAGTGAAAATACCGACAACATTTGCATGTAAATTCGAATGTTATCGCGTGTTGCATCGACCGGAATGAGAATTAGAATCAAAACTCACTGGGTGGAAAGGGATTGCCAGTGGTCTAGAAGTAGAAGTAGTCCATTACAAAGGGAAAAACATCCCCTGGAAAATCTGAACAAGACAGCCCGTTTTGCTCCCCTAGTTTTCCGGATATATCGGCATCAAAGTTTTGATAGA